CTTGTGCACGTGGCTGACTGACTATTTGCAATTGCTTTTGGTCCATCACCTCATAATGCCAATTGCCCCTCGTCACTCTCTTTTTCTCTTTCTCTCTCTGTTTACATTCCTAGTACGTAAACTCAAACATCCAAAGACAACAAATCTGACTTGGATTCTTTTTCTAGAACTGTTGGCATAACAATTGAATTGATAAAAAGAAGCTTGACGTTGAACTTGAAATGTTCATTACCTGCATAATTTTGTTTCATAACATGAAAAAGATACGTAAGGGGGGTGGAAATTGTCAATTGATCTCATCATCATCATCATCATCATCATCATCATCATCATCATATTGGATTTGGTGGATAGCTACAGCAGCAACATCTAAAGCACTATTGGAGTGACCAAATATCTCGAAATAAGCGAAGAATTAAGTTAAATTAGGTTAATTATTACCCTCTCAACGTCTGACATTCCCCAAGGGAAAGGGTTTAATACTAGAAATAGCCTCAAGAATGCGTGATTAATTTATTCAATCTAGAAGAAGGAATTAAGATTGAAAATGAAATCAAAATGCCGGGAGCAAATCTTGGGTCAGCCATGGTGAGATCTCTGTTCCCACCTCTTAGGGATGCCCCATAGCTTATTTGCTGTACACCACACCAGCATTAAAAAAGAAGAAAATACTATATTTTTAGAGTATTAGAAGGAGATTGCATCAACATTCACCATGGGAAGCAACTTAGGTTAACTCAGCCCATGACCAATTCATGATATTAAATTCTCCACCAGCTTTGGATTGATTGTCTCTGACTCGATCGGCCAATTTTAGAAATGAAATTGTTGCTATCCTTCTGTAGGTGATATCATCAAGTTTCTTAACAATTCCTTTGAAGCCAAACCACGGGAACTAAATGCTTCTCCAACTAGCTGAAATTAATTTTAAGGATTTACAACCTTTAAGTTATGATCATCTTCATTAAAGATTGTTGAAAGGAGAAAAAAAATGTCACATCTAATATTCAAGAATTAGGTTATTATTTTATAAAAAAACTCACCATTCTCCTTTCGAAATGTTCTTCTTAAAACACAATTATAAAGGCAAGTTTCTAAGTTTTCAAAATGAATAATATTTCAAAAAGAGCACAAACCAACAATCATTACATCAATCAATACATAATTAAATTATTCAAATCATAAAATTATTGTAAAGCAATCAGCTACGGGATCAAATGCATTAATATCGAGGAAGTAAAAATTGGTCTTATCCTTTTTTTTTCTTTTCCTTTTTCAAAATTTAGATCCTATAAATTTTATTATCAAAGGAAATCAGCCTCGACCAACATATAGTCACTGAGACATCATTAGACTTGGACATGGGAGTTTCTGTTTGAATTCATCATTAGCTCGTTTGGAAGTCAAGATAATAATTAGGGCTGATTTTTTTTACCTGTGATATAAAGCTTTTTATCATAATGTGCAATTTAGTTAATGGAAGTGTACGTGTGAAAGTGGTCATTTTGTTTCTTGTCCTTTTCTCTTTTATACAATTAACCTTTCCTTTATCTGTCATTTATATTACTAAATAATTAAATTTTAACATTTTGTAAGCAAAGCCTTTAATATGCAGTAAAAAGGCATGAAAAGTTACCATTTGCATGAGACAAAAATAGTAAATTATGTAGCTAAATATATAAAAATAATAATAAAACTATTATAATTGTGGCATGAATAAAGTAATTGATGGAATTATGGTCACATTTCTTTGTAAATAAAAGAGAAATTTAAATTCGCATTTCAAGGATCTTAACTAAAAGGATATTATTTTCATTTTTTTTATATAGAAAACTACAATTTAAGGACATATAAGAAAAAGAGTTACAAGAATTAAGTTTTAAATTTTAAATTTGTTGGATATCATTTCTTAAGAATGATATCAATTGAATTAAATTTCGGATTTTAGATCTAATTTTTCCAAAAAAAAAAGAAAAAATGAGCAATTTGAAAATGCTCGCTTATGTCCAGCTTATAGAAGTACCTCTATGTATAAATTTATTATCTATGTATATGTTATGTCAATAATTAAGTCTAATTATAGAAGCTAGACAACATCTTTATACCAATTTATCCATATATTATCTATCTTATCAAATGTTTCATTAAAAAAAATGATGAGAACATAAACTTGAATTCAAAGAAAGATGGTCTTTTTCCTAGTAGACATCTCAAGTCGAGGTCATAGGAGGTTTCTTAGAAACTTTCTATAGTGGGCAATGGGCTGGTGACTTTGCAGTTCATTCGATGACAAAAAGTATTTCATGGCAGAGAGAGTGAATCCATCTTTTTTCACTTATCTTTCATTCTTTGTTGCTTTGCCAAAAATCCCTTTTGTTTTTGGTGACAATTGCATGCAGGAACAATCATGTGTCTTAGCTTTAACACCACATCTACATTTCCATGATGTTGTTGAGCACTTCTGGCCTTTGGGGCCCCAATATTTTTCACCTTTTTATTTTTTTAATTATACTACTATTACTACTATACTGTTAGCATGCAATAATGGTGTCAAAATTTTACTGATAAAAGAAAAGAAGATAGGCCAACAGTACTCAAACTCAAACATATCTCTAAAGACAAATTTTCTTTGCCTTTGTCATGATTAATTTCTTGTTCTTCTTGGTATAAATTGGTGAAGTAGGCACATTCTTATCAAAACTTTATTTCATTACTGTTCTATCCTAAATTTCTTATACATGAAGTGTGAAATGTGAAAGACCAAAAATGAAAGGATATATAGATAAACCTTTTTCTTCCTCTTTGGCTAAAGATCATGCCATTGTGTCAACAAAACCCATAATTCTTGACAATGTTTCAACAAGAAATTTCATAAATCCTTTGCATTTTGTATGGTGTTTGCTTGGAAATGAAGGCCGGTTGACGCCATAATATATTGTACGACCCAAAAATGCCACATTCTTGCCTTAGTCGCTATAATTAATTCATTATATTATAATTTGATTAATAATCAGGTGCATATCATGTGACAAAAATTAATTTTCTCAAAGTTATGTTGAGTGAATAAGGGTATGATTTCATAATTAAATTTCATGCCCCAACTGCTCATGTCCTGCCCTATTTTCCTAGTTTTGGGCTACTTGTCCTCTTCCATATTGCTTCCAAAAGAATGATTTGGTCAGGCTTGTATTACAATATTTCATAAATTAAATTAAATTATTACTTTATGGTAATGTAATTGTTGTATTTTAAAACCTTTTGATTAAGACTGCTTTGGGTTTTTTTTTTTAATATTGATTATTTAATAATAAAATTTCTAGCTCTCATTGTCAATGCCAAAATTAGCTAATTGAGTGAGATCCTTTGTCTAATTATTTCCTAGTAATTATTTTTATATAAAAAATCACAACATGAAAATAAGGGTCTTCTGATTGTCATCTACTAATTATGTAAAATGGGGAAGCGTATGTGATAGCAACATAAAGGAAATTTGTTGCAAATTATTAAGCCACGGAAAAGAATATCATTAATTTTAGTAAAAGCTTTTGAGACCAAGACTAGGCCCAGTATCAAGCCCAATTGAGAAAAGACTTATACCATACTTTTTTTATGATATCAAGCCTACAGTCAAACCATTTTAAGATCCCCAATTGAGATCAGGATGGATGGTTGATTCAAGATTGGGCCCAGTTTCAAGCCCACACATGAATTTTACTTAAAGAAAACCCAAAATTCAAGACCAATAAAGAATACCATAATAGAGTTTTGGGCATTTTAAGTAGTTGGTGTTAGATTTCACAATTCAAATATTTATATTATATAAAATATTTATAATTTATATATTTATATTATATTTTATATAGAATTTACATTTCATAATTTATGTATGAAATGTCGATACGAAAACATGAAATACAATATTTTAATTTTATTAAATTTATATATAATTTTTACTTAAAATTTAAATCGTATTATTTTTATGTATTTTATTTATATTATTTTTATATCATGTTAACCTAATACTGGTACTGACTGTACTATGACTCACAATAAAGGTTATTAAAGTATTTTTCTTCATTGGATTGAATTTTTTTAAAATTACAAATACAACGGAAATTACAATCGGCTGCTTTTTCATGAAATTAATGAAATTAATGCGGAGATGGGCTCAACCACAAATAATCAGCTGCTTTTTCATGGATAATGGATCGTGGTTTTGTCAGTTTTGAGGATCTGAAACATTAAACAAATGTAAGATGATGAGGGTAGTAAAGATGAATTTGGTCCCCCGGCCGACAATCCCCGGACAACCAGTACCGTCTCACGTATGATACAAGTTATTAATGAAAGCAATGGTACAAGTCTATAGTTATGGTTCAATCGACTGTACAGTCCAAAGTTTTTTAGGTTTTTTATCACAGGATAGGCCTAATATTTTGGTGGTTACATCAAATAATAAGAGATCATCGAGTACTTCGAATTTGCTTACCTGATTCCCACGCATTCGTTTTTTCAACAGTCCCTCCTTGCTAAAATCAGAGAATTCAGCAATCTCACTTTCTAGTTTAGCTATAGTCCAGAAAATTCCTAAGCTGATCATCTGAAGCATGGAAATGATTCAGAATAATGGACTTCTAATACTGATCTAATGATGCAATTATGAATGCTTTCGCAATTTCATTACAACCTTAAAATCATACAAATAATGAAGTGATTAGTCAACTATTATCAGTTCCATCATTAATTTCTTTGGCATTGCTAATCGGGATTTCTAGCAGTAGGCCTATGAAAAGGTTGAATCTTATAGTATTGATTTTAGAAGCTTTCAAAGGTTCTCTGCATAATATGTACTTCTGCTATGTTTACTATTACACCTCATTCTTGGATTTCTTTTTTCTGAAGAACAATATATCTTTGATTTGTAATTGATCAGCAAAGTGCTATTTCAAGATTTACTATTAATTAATAATTAAATCCTGAGACAGACATAAAGGTCCCCAGATGCTCTGATCTTTCCCTTTCTATTCTTAACACAAATTCACAGAAACACATGCAGTCAAACAACACACAGACACCGAGAGAGAAAGTGGTAAGGGAATTGGTGTATTCGTTGGATGCAGCCAACCTGCTAAAATCCAAGTGTTATTTGCTCTCTCATCTAATAATCCCTGCCATAACTCAACTGTTTCTCAATGTCTGTAGCTCTCTCTCTTTCATTCGACTTTACTCCCCTCGAATGTACACTTCTAATCTAAACCAGCAGCGAATGAACAGCGCATGCACTAAAGCCACCCTACTAAAATCCAATCCCTTTAAAATACAAATATCCAATCTATTCCTAGTTTGGCTTCACTGATCCATCAGGTCCCAACTTGGAAAAAAAGACTGGCATTGATACATACTATGCGTATATGCATACATTACTTATACAGTATAAGACATCGTATAGTAGTAGAATATACTATCCTAATCTATTGATATCAGCATTGGCTCTGCAGCTTTAAGGTCTAAAGATGTCATGAAAGTTTTCTTCATTTGAAAGGGCAGCCAAAGTTCACATAACACTCAAACCAAGAACAAGAAATAATTCAAAAACAGACCAACCACAGTAAATAAGTGCGCACATTGCAGTTTGCAGGTACAAATCTCCCTCTCTTCTATACCATTAAAATTTTACCCAACCCCCCAAAACCACAAAATGAAAAACAATGTAAAAAAATAAAAATGGGAAAAAAACAATTAGTTCCTCATCTGATCTTTTATGAGGACTTCAACATATACCCCCAAAACGCAGCTAATAATAACAATACATTAGGGAAAAATTAAAAGAACATGCCATGCAATATATACATACGGAATAGAAAGCCAAACTTACTGGACTAAAAAAGTTGCAGCAAAAGGAGCTAAGGCTTTCTCTTGAACACAGCTTCAGATGGTGATCATGACTGATGAAGAAGATGATACCTTCAGCGATGAGATGAAGAGGATCCGAGGTTCCTCTCAGCGCAAATAGGGACTCTCAACCTTGACAATAAAACTTTAGGCTGAATTCTTGCAACTGACAGGATCGCTCCGATCCAATCTTCTCCCTTCTATGCTTCAATACTCAACTTTAATTTATTAAGGATCTTTTTTTTTTTTTTTTTTTTTGCTTCTTCTCAATCCCACCCCATTATAGAATCCACTACCGACAATAGAAATAAACGGAAACTAAGTAACTAAAAGGAAAAAAAGACCAAAGAAAAGAAAGAGGGAGACAATTTGAAGAATATGAAGTCTAGTTTTGCTAGATCAGAGAAGTGACTGAGGATCCAATGTTAGCCGGATCATGCCAGGCACCGACGCTTGTTGCATTCCAATAAACAGCAGGATCAGATAAACCAATTTGTTCGAGCCGGTTCTGGCATGGTACATCCCATTCCATTCTGCTTTGTACCTCTTCAACTTTGACATCTTCCATCGTTAGCCCATTTTCACTATTACCTGTCAACTGAAGATCTTGAAAAGGTGCTAAAGTTTGGAAATGGTTAAGCGCTCGAGTATTTTTGACACCACCATTCATGAATTTGTGTTGGTGAGAGGTAGAAGCTAACAAAGAAGCGATGGTTGGTGTAATGGTGGTACTAGAAGATGAGGATCCAAAGGTATTGGAATAGCTTGAAAGGAGTGGATTTGAAGTGACGACATCCTGGATTTGCTTAGTCGGGTTAGCATTAAAACCATTTCTATAATCACTATCCCCGGTATCACTTGACACAATCCCAGAAGAAAACCCTAAGCCAAGAGCATTCAGCTGAGGCTGGAGATCATAGCCTGTGACAGTTTCCACATCTGAAACTGTTGAATTAAACCGAGGAAATGGAAGATTCATATCAGAAGGATTATTAGCTAACCCATAAAACAAAGGATTAATACGATGACATGAGGTTGAAGAGACATGAATTTGAGGTTGAGATGGGGGGTTAGGATTTGCAACAGAAGTTGGAGAAGCTCCACCAGTGGCTGAAGCAGGCCTCTTGACACGCTTGTTCTTCCTACAACCACCACCGACAGGAACATTCCTTAGAGTGCCACCTTTAGTCCAATAACGCTTACAAGCCTTGCAAAAGTGTCTTGGCTGTGATAAACTGTAGTTGTTGTAGTAGCAGAACTTAGTGTTTGATGAATCACAGCGAGGACACTTTAGGGCTTGTTGCTGCTGCTGTTGCTGTTGTTGCGGTTGGTGTTCTTGTCTTGGTTTCTCCATAAGCCCATCTGTTGACGCCATCAAGTCTTTCTCATCTATATAATTCTGCAACCAGAGGGAGCAAAGAACGAAAAAGGGAAGAAACGACAAGGAAAGAAATAAAGAGTTGAATGAGGTGATGCTCTTAAGGTAAAATACAATACAACATAGATATTCTCTTCCAAAAACAAAGCAACAAAAATGGGGTCATGTTTTGTCTAATAATTGATTGAGAGAGAGAGTGAAAAACCTGTGGCCATTCGTTCGTAGTTGAAGAGATGACAACCATCTTCTCACAGTTACTCAACATTTCTTCTCGCAAAGGAATCGTTGAAACCAAGAGTAAACAGACAAAGAGCAGGTGGCGACGTGAGTCTCTGTTGATGGGGTTGAAATATTACTACGACTGACAGAATTAGTATATGTGATTAGCATTACAAGAACAAGAAAAAAAAATTTTGATCTTTGATTTGTTAATCAAATTTTCACGTGATGGATCTGTTCTATATTTGAAATATGCAGTTATTTAAATAAAATTTAAGATAAAAAAATGGAAAAAGAATATAAGTGTATGGAGCTAGGATAAATATTCAAAATCCAAGAAGAAGACAGAGTGGTAAAGCAGAAGAGATGAATATTGAGAAGTTCAAGAAATGAAAAAAAAAAAAATATTGATGAGTTTGAGTCGATATAGTATCAAGTTTAAGCTCAATTTGAAATTCGATCGAATTTTATTTTTTTAACTCGAATTTAATTCGAGATAACAATCGAATTACTCAAACTTACTTGATTAAATTTTATTAATCTGTAAGAAAAAATTTAAATTTTATATTCGATAAAAATTTGATTATTTGTGTTAAAATTTGAGCTCGAATTTGAAATATTTTATTAATTAAAATAATAAAAATATATTTAAATATAAAATTTTGATTAAATTCATGAGCTTTTTGAATCAAATATAAAAAATATTCGAACTCAACTTGATCAATAAATCAAACTATTCGAACTTGAATTTAATTTGATAATAATCGAATCGAATTTAAATTTTATTTGAATCAAACTCAAATAACTTACAAATATTAATATATCATCTACACTCTTATACGATACTATTCCACGCCGTAACATTCCTTTGCATGTACAGGGAGGGAATCCCAGTGCCCCATTCCTCAATGCAATGGCAAATCCCACTTCTTTTCTTTATTTCATCATTAATATTATACTACTCGTACTTTCATTACTTTGTATACTATAAGGTGTAAAAAAAACAAAGTTTGAACACATTGGGAAGAGGAAATTGATTAATAGTTTGTACGGTGGGCTTTGATCAACAAGAAATCTGTATCCTGATCCAATGGCGCAAATCAATGCAGCCTTTGCTCCTGATGGAACATCATTACATGCACAATGTGGCCAATTGTTGATGCCAAATGGGTTGTATTGGGGCTTTTTTTTTTTTTTTTTTTTTAAGCTTAGGTTGTGTTAATTAAAGTTAAATAAAAATGGACCCCTTCTCCATTTGGGGGCATATTTCAAAATTAAAATCAACATAACATGAAAAATAAAATAAAATCCAAAATTTTTACTATCATTACACCTTAATTAACGTGAAAGATTTTCTTTTGAGATATATCTAAATAAATTATAAGATTAATTCGATTAATTTAAAATATGATATTTAATAAATTTAAATTTAAAATTTTGTAATTATATTTTTTATTCTCAAGAATGTGCAACATTTTTTTATAAAAAATAAAAGAAATTTTCTTTTAAAAAATATTCATAAATAAAATTACTTAATTAATTTTTATTAAATTACCTGTCAACTCTTTGTACACTGGTTGCTTGATTTGAAGGCGGAGAACCTGGGTGGTAATTGCTTCTCTTGGCCTGATATTGCTATTTCAACCCCTTATGTTTCTTTTTCTCTCAAGTGGAAAACTTTTTTTCTTCTTTTTGGTACAAGGTGAATTAGTGAGTGCTGAGAGTAAATTATTAGCTATAAGAAAGTAGAAAGATGTTAAACCTTATGTGCTTTTCTAACTACCGGCATTTTTTTTTTTCAAAATTTCCATTGAAACCAGCAGAAAAGCTTTAAGCAGCGGGATTGGATGATGGCTAAATTATAAAAGAAAATTGTTAGAGAATTTGAAATTTCGAAGAGAAAGCGACAAGAGCTAGATGCATGTGGAAGTCTAGCTAACTCGTTACATCTCAGGCTCAAAAAACCATAGAAAGAAAGACCAGACACCACGCTTTATTCTCGAGGGCTCTTTCTTTGCTGTGTCCCATAACTTCCATTCCTCTTCTTTCCTCATTTTTTTTTAGAGGAAAAAAAAATTAAAAAGAAAGAATGGAAGAAACCGTTAATGGTGTCAGGAAGAGATTGAATAGTAACAGAGGGCAGGGCCATGTGGTGGGCAGCTCAGCTCAATTATAAGTTTTTTTTTTTTTTTTTTTTTTGTAAAAAAAGGGCAAAGCATAGGTTAGGGAACAATTGGATTTTGTAGTGTTTCAAGGGATTTTCTCATCTTCCAAAAACCCCATCATTATTTTTGCGCAGTATCTCTTATCTTCTTCAAAATAAGAAAAATATTACTGTCATTTTGCTATTCACAAAAACTTTTTTCTTTGGATTAATTAATTCTAATTTACTACTTATGGCCTCAAACTGTCTGTTATTTGGCAGGCAGTCCTTTTTTTTCCCTTTCATTTCTTATTTTAAAAGAAGTTAATTAATTTCTTTAATTTGGTATATATAATCATTATTTACTCTATTATAAAAGAAATCTAATAGTGATTTAGTTAGACTCTATTATTACAAAAATTAATGTATTTGCTAATTTATTATAAAAAAATATTACGAAATATCAACAGTTATATGATTTATTAATAAAATATTAAAATTTTAATATAAAAAAATTAAAGATCAAACCCTGCTGCGTCTGAAATATTAAAAAAAAAAAGAGAAAACAAAATGGAATTAGGCAATTGGGTTGGGTCCTACTGCTACCCATCCTACCCATCGGCACTTGAGTCGCTCACTACTCTCCACCATGTCTGGACAAGAAATTCCAATTTGGCGAACATGAAAGAAACCCAACGCGCACGTTAAAAGGGAATACTTATTTTGAGCGTTGAGTGAGAACAAGTGAGTGAGAGAGAGTGGGTTTGGGGGACCAAAGCATCAAATCCAAACCAACTGTACCCATCAAAGGCTGACCATATTGCACCCCAACCAATGTGCGGACAAAGATCTCACTCTCGATTTTAGTTTCTTTCTATAGTACTATTCACTTTTTGGGCACGCCACTGACTTTGATTGCAATGATATAAAAGTACCCATTTGCCCCCGCAATGAACATGAATCATTCCATTAAAGAAGGGTAAATTCAAGTTTTTTGATGAATGGGATGCTAGGGTTATAAGACACTTGGGGGTGCTCAAGTGAGCTTTTGTGATTTTCAGCATTTTATGTTGTTATTAGAGAAAAATATATAACAAAAGTAGTAGTATATGTGTAGATTATGATGAATGTTAATGAATTCTTTCCGAGACCATATATTCCATTTGATGACTTATCCATCATGTACCCTTCTGTACTTGCATTGTAAAATTGTAGTAATTTTTTTTCTTTGTCGACCCGATGAGTGTTCAAAAAGCTTGAAATTAGGCCATCACTAATGTGGGAACAACATAGCACATGCCATGGCATGGTTCATGATGGCCCAACTAGGCTATTAGTTTTTGTCATAAACTAAAGAGATATTGCCAACTCTGGTATAATGAGCTAATCACAGTTTTTTACAGTCTCTTGCATTGGGAAAGAGGGGCTTAATCAAAGAAGAATAAAAATATATAGTATCGCCGTACAAGAGCAATAAAACTTTTTTTTTTCATTGATTTGATTTGATATGAATTTAAATTTATCGTAATTATTATTAAAAAATAATATTTAATAAATTTAAAATTTAAATTCTAACATTTATAATATTTTTTTCTATTTTCTAACCTAGAAAACTTTGATGTGGTATAAGTTGAATGGTTGGTGCCATCCAAATTAAAGTTGATAGAACACACGTGGACCAATAATGTATAAATAGGCTGACATTATTTTATATCGATGCGGCAATCAATAATGGGCCACTTAGACCAAAGGCAGGGAAGAGAAGAGGAAAATTCTGAAATGAGTCAAACCTGGGAATTGGGTCCCTATAAGAGCATATGGAAAATTCCAGTGGAGGTTCCTGGTGGTCATCCATGGGTCTTCAAGAATCTTTCATTCCAAAATTCCAACCTTTCTTTTTTTAGATTTAGTTTACAAGAAAGCCTGGACTGTTGCTCATGGAAGTTTCAAGTGCCGCCGGTTCCCGTGGGGCCTCAGGGAGTGTTGTGGCCTGTAGGAGGGGACAGCTTCAAACTTTATTTTATTTCAACTTCCTAAACAAATTTATCTTTTTCTTAGAGATAGGCCAATTTGTTTGGTAGAGGGTGGAGATTGATTAGAGAGTGATGGTGGGATTCTCCCACTGCTAAAAGAATCATTTCATTTAGTATTATAAAAGAGATTAGTGATTAAAAATAGAATTAGGAAAGTAATGGGTATGCGAAGGACGGGTCATTCTTTCCCAACCTGTCAATGGGTCATGTTTTCTACCTATTTAGTGCAACTGAACATTGTTAAGGGATTGTGGCAAAAAAAAAAAAACATTGCTAAATGATTTCTAGACTATCCGATTAAAAGATTTTCATCGCATCAAAAAGTACATTTTACAACTGCCAATGCGATGTATGGTATGCTGTTGAAGTCCTTCTAGCATACTATGACATGAACACTAAATATATAAATCATGGTTCATAATTAATTAATTATCTTAATCTTATATCGACAGACAAAGCGAAACCAGAAAATAACTAAAAAAATGCTAAACAATGAATTAAATAAAAGTAAGAGGGCCACATATTAATTTTGATAAATTCAATTGTTAATTTGAAATCATATAAAATTTTTTTTTTGAAGAGATCGTAGCCCCTGCTGCTCCCCTTGACTTCGATCCTATCATCAGGCTTACGTCATCTCAAAGTCTCTTTATTTGTACCCAAGTTGGGTTTTTTTTTTTTTTTGACAAATATAAAACGAGCATAAAGATCAAATTTCTACTATTTTCAGTAAATTTTAATTAGAGATAATAAAGAGTTAAGTTGAGATAAGTTTTTCCTTACTTTAAATTCGATTTGATTTTATACTTATAATATTTTAATTTTATTTTATTTAATATTTGAATTTAATTTAATTTAATATTATATAAAATTATATTTAATTTAATTTGATTCAAAATTAATAAAATATTATTTTTTTAATATAAATATAAAATTAAATAAAAATAAAAATATATAAAAAATTAAATAAATAATAAAAATAATTTTATATACATCAAATCAAGTTAAAGAGAGTGTACCTAAAATTTTGATTTTGAT